CATTTTGCAGATGAAGAGATTTGAGGCTGGTAAATCGTTCCTCTTGTACCCAAGAGAGGAGTTCTATATTTAAATACAATCCAGAAATAGCCTCCTTTAGGGATGTAATTTGCTATGATTCCATGGCTCCACTGAGCACATTACATGTTATGTAATGCTCTTCCTTCTATTAGCTGTGTCATGTCATCTCCTGTAAGTCTACAGCCACTCTGAAGACAGAGATTTTGTTTCGTTTATCTTTGCACAAGCCCTACAATAGCTGTCCCAGCCCATCCCCCTGTCTGGTACTGGACTGAACATCAGGCCGTCTGCAGGCAGCCATGATCCTGCTCTGAAGTCAAGGAAACAGGCACTAAGGTGGCAGTCTCCTGTGAGCTCTGCAAATTTTCATCTGCTCCAGGTCATCTGACAGTTTCCCGGGATAACCTTGTTTGCTATTTGGAGTCCTGTGATCTCTACTCTTCACATGATAGCATGAAGCTGCCTCCCTGTGCTAAGGCCCTCCCATGCCATTGTTTCCCCACCCTAATACCAGCAACTGCGGTGGACGGCACTGGGTTGGCCACTCTCTGGTTAATTTAGAATTGCTGCCACTCCTCAGCACCCCCTTTCACGGTGCTCCACAGCTCAACCTCCTCCATCCTGGCACCTTGACTGGCAAGTAACACAGGCAGCCTGTGTAATTCCACCCTGAGAGCTAAAGCTATTGCTTGTCTGACACTGTTACATGAAAGGAGGTGAATAATTTGAAAGAGTGAATTTGGACATCAGTCACTCACTAAACAAATATTAATTGAGTACCTGATATATACCATATCAGACCCTTTCCTGGGTGCTGGAGACACAGCAGCGAACAAAATCAAATTCCTGCCCTCATGGAGTTCATACTCTGGGTCAGGGCAGGACACAACAAACAAATAAATGAGTAGATACATGATACAAAATCACTGCTAAAGAGTAAGTGCTGTGAAAAGACAAGAAGCAGGGAAAGGGAATAGAAAATGACATCACTACTCAGCATCACTCATCATCAGGGAAATACAAACCCAGTCCTCAGCGAGATATCACCTCACATCTGTCAGAATGGCTGTTCTCAAAAAGACAAGAAATTACAGGTGTTGGTGAGGATGTGGAGAAAAGGGAACCCTTGTGTACCATTGGTGGGACTGTAAATTGGTGTGGGCACTATGGAAAACAGTGTGGAGGTTCCTCAAAAAATTAAAACTAGAACTACAGTAATTCCATGCCTTGGTGTTATTCCAAAGGAAACAAAAATGTTAACTTGGAAAGATACCTGCACCCTTATGTTCATTGCAGCATTATTTACAATAGCCAAGATATGGAAACAACCTAAGTGTCCATTGATGGATGAATGGATAAAGAAAATGTGATATACAGAGATAGATAGACAGATAGTTAGATAAATAGATAGACAGGTAGGTAGATAGATAGATAGATAGTATTCTGGCATAAAAAAAGAAGGAAATCCTGCCATTTGTGACAACGTGGATGGACCTTGATGGTACCATGCTAAGTGAAGTAAATCAGACACAGAAATATAAATACCATATGATCTCACTTACATGTGGAATCTAGAAAAAAAAAGAAAAGAAAAAACCAAACTCATAGATACAGAGGACGGACAGGTGATTGCCAGAGGTAGGGGATGGGGCATGAAATGGGTAAAGGAGGTCAAAAGGTGCAAAGTTCCAGCTATAAAATAAATAAATCCTGGGGATGTAACGTACAGCATTGTAACTGCAGTTAATAATACTATACTATATAGTTGAAAATTGCTGAGGGAGTAGATCTTAAAAGTGCTCCCCTCTCCAAAAAAAAGAAAAAGAAAGAAAATGACAGGAAAGGTTCTATTTTAGAAAGAATGGTCAAGGAAGACCTGGACATAGAGACATTTGGGAATCAGATGAGCTATCTATCTACCTATATATATATATGGATGTATATGGATGGTATTTAAAGTCATAGGACAAGTGGGATCATCTAGAGAATAAACATAATTAGTGAAGCAATGTCTGAGGACTCAGCGTTGGGACATTACAACGTTAGAGGTAGAGAAGGTTAGGAAGACTCAGGAAAGAAGGTTACGAAGGAAGAGCCACTGAGGCCGGACAAGCAGGAGAGGGTAGTGATCTGGAAGTCAAACTGAGAAAGTAATTCAATAAGGAGGATAAGCAACTAAGACCAAGAATGGACCTTGGAATTTGGCAACATAGAAGTTAATGGTGAGCAAGGAAATAGTGGTTTTATTGAAATGCAGGAGACCCTGACAGGAGTCAGACCCCTGATAGCATGGGAGAAGAGATGGAGAGTGAATGTGCTCTGTGCCTTCGAGGTGCTTTACTACAGAAGGAAGCAGAAAACGGGAGGTATCTAGAGAGGCGTGAAGGACCGACCAAGAGAGGCTTCTATTTTTCTGAGAGAAATAACAGCATTTTGTTTGTGTGCAGAGAACAAAGATGCAGCAGAGGGAAACTGGTGATGTAAAAAGGAGAGGGATTATTGTATAGGCAAGAGGCACTGAGATTCAGTGGGTGCGAAGACCACATTCCCTCCAGTAAAAATGTCACTTTCAGCCATAGGCTTATGACTTTTCAAAGGAAGGCAAACAGTAAATTCACCATTTTTGCAAGTGTGCATTTTTCATTTCTGCTGTGTTTTGCTTTCCCATCGTTAAGTTACTGTTCATGATATAAGTGGATTCATACTGATAATAACGTCGTTCTACAAAAGTTTAGCCAGTCATCCTTCAGCAAAGTCAATGGTGTCTTAATGGACTATTTGCAGTTTCTAATCCTAGAACAACTTGAAATTTCCACTCTTCAGTGTATGGGAAATAATCGATCAGTATTGTGATTCAACCCACGTCATGAAAACAATAGCAACTTTCTTTCTGTAGCACTTTCGCTCTAGTTCTAGTTCATCTGCTTTAGTTTAGAACTAAGGCTTCCTTCGAGAGAACTAAAGCCCAGAGAAAACCCAAATGGAAAATGTATGATCCTATGAACAGAAAATACAACCTTTTGTTTAGGTTTTTCTCTACCTTGGTTTTTAGTACCTCCGTTCTGAGTTCCCAGGCATAAATAAGGGTAGAAACTGACCTAAAGTCCAAGCTACTTTTTACCATCAAAGTATTACATGGGATGAAAATTACAGATAAGTAAGAAACAAGATTTTCAGGACATCGGAGTTATAGTCAGAGAGAGGGAGCACGTTCAGTGAGTATAAACCTTCACTGAGACAGAGGTGATAGATTCCTGATAATGTAAAACTAGAGATTTGGGGATCTAGAAAAAGATAGTAAAGATCATTTTTTCCAACCACATATTTTTTCAGATAAATAAACTCAGTGACCAAGTGATGAAGTCACTTATACCAAGATCTGGAGGTGATTAGTAGCCATGACGGGTGAATTTTAAAATTAATAAAATGGAAACTAAAGTAGTAACAACAACAACAACAACCATGTTTGTTGACTGCTTCCATACACCGGGCACTGTGCTGACCACGTTAGAGTCGTAACTTCATTTAAAACTTACAGTGACTGCGAGAGGTAGAAAGCAGGAGATTTCTTAACCAACTGCTGCTTTTTTTCACTGACCACTTTGTGTTAGAAACTAAGAGTCAGAAGGATTAAATGATTTGTTCGATATCATACAACAGACAAAACCGAAATCCAACGTAGGGATAGGGAGTTCAAGCCTAAACTCTTCCTGTCGTTCCACGTAACCTTTCTCAGAAAGTGAGGGCAGAGGGGATCCGGTCCAATACCCACACTTGATACTGGAATCTTTGTACCCTTAAGTAGCCAAAAGCCAACACTTTAGTGAATTGGGCCCCATGATAACGGATGTAAAGTGGATTCCACATGCTTTCTCCTGTTTGAGAATTCTACTTGTTTTACCAATTGACTTAAACAGCCCATCAAACTAACCTTTATAATATTAAGTAGTAAGTTAGATTTGCATACCTATCCTGGGCTACTAGAAACCTGAGATGTCCGATGGAGGATATTTTGGTGAGTTTTAAAATATCTGAGTCACAGGCCGTAGCCTTTTAGTGGACTGAATTTTTGTTAATATAAACTATTTTGATGATAAAGGGAAAACTGAATGGACCATTAGGTTCTCCATTCCTGAGAAGGAAAAAATTTGTGGACAGTAATAAGGTATCCTAAGGGCTGGAGTTTATGGCTTTCAGCTCTGTTAGCCACTATGAAGCTATTACCATAATGTTCTATATCAGTATTTTAATAGTGTGTCTTAACAGCTCCAATATTAAACGGCTTTTCATGTTTGTTTACAAAAATATCTGTGAGCTAATGTTTGGAGAGCATTCACCGTTAACTCTGTTAAGGCAAATGATAGGTACCACGTTCCCATATTAAGAAAGAGAAATTAAACGAGAGAGAAATAAAAAAATATGCACTTTATTTGGGTAAAGTATTGAGTCATTGGAAGAGTCCATGATAGGACAGGATTCTAGTGACTACTAGCTTGGATTAAGAGAGTTTTAGTTTTTGAAAAAATAAAAAACAAAACTTTGGGGGAATGTTAGGTGCACAAAAACAAACCCAACACTAAGTCTTAATTTTCTGTGGCCTATCAGAGAGCAATTTAACTAGCACGTTTAATGCTCAGGCAAGAACTGGGATAATTATGAAAACTAGAAAGGATTAAAAAGCTTAGTGAATCAGGACAGTTTTTCTGTGCCATCATCTTACACTGGAGGATGTTTGCATTTTGTTCATTTCTTACAGTGAGTTTCATGTTGGCTCTTTGGGGTCTGGATTTTGGTTTACTTCAGTTAGCATAATACTGAATACTAATATTTTGTTCCTTCAATTTTCCCTCCTTTCCCAATTCCCAAGCTTGAGGGATCCCTTCCATGGAAGCTCAGTATTGAAAGGCTGTCTTAGTCTTGCGAGTTTCTTAACACCAAAAAGAAACCCCATCAGAGCTACACAGATGTTGCTTCCCTACCGCGATGAGGGAGTGTTGAGGCTGAGCTGGGCGTGTTCTTCGGGTAGCTTCACTACAGAAGCTGTTAGCAAACACTTTTGTTACATCTCTAGTGGTATCTGGAAAATAATGATAAAAAAAATCAATCCACTGCAGGCCTAGGTACTCAGAGAATATCTTATTTACAGTGGCCAAATATCCTTAGAGAGTTTTAGGAGCTGTTCCCACTTGTGTGTGTTTGATATAGAAACAGGGTTTCTCTCTCTGGAGAGGATATTTGTTTACACAAAAGAAAGCTGAGATTTTAGAATGTTTTGTCTATGAACCTCTGTGAGCAGGCCTACTAGGAACTGATACATTTTCTTTTATTTTAACATTTTATTATTTTTCTTTTTTCATCATTTTTAAACAGATAAGTGGATGGAAAAACTTATCGGTCCTCTTCCCTTCAATCAGAAGGTAAACATTCTCTCATCACAGGATATGTTATTTGGGAAAGGGTAAATTAAAGAGTTAGAGCAATTTGAGGTGGGAACACTCAGCCTATTTCTCTGCCAGTAATGGTGGACATTACCTCATGACTATGTTTGAAATTTTCCTCCGCCTGCTTTTAAGGGCTGGACTTGATCAATTCAAGCATTTCCATGACACCAATTTGAATTTCCTCCATCTGAATTTCACACAGTTGCTTCTAGCTAGAAGGAACTTTGTTTGGCTCTTTATAAAAAATGTTGAAAAGTCAAAAGTTTCCAAGATCATTTCTATTTTTTTCTTTCTTTTGGTAAAACTAAACTGCTTCAAAATTGCCCAATTAAGTAATTATATCCTTCATTATTCTTATGGTTTGCAGGATTATGGTTATAAAAACATTAAATACAGGAAACTTATGTAACTTGTACTAACATCTTTTAGAAATTAGATCCTTTCTTCTTTAAAAATCCTGCCACTTTTCTCTTCCATAGAGATTGAGTTACATGTTTACCCTTTTTGTTTTAAGGCAGATTATTCCATTTCTTTCAATCATGACATCCTTTATTATACATATGACTCAGCTAAGCGTTATTATGACTTGTTTTTTTTTTTTACATCTCTCTCTTCCCTTTATTTTGGGGAATTGAGTTGGTACACCAGTGCTTTTCTTCCCTGTAAGGGAGCCTCATTGTTCTTATGGCAAAGGTTCCTGATTTACTTGGACATCTCGAGATATAATTTGTTTTATGTTAGTCGGACTATGCTTTCCTTTGGACCAATGCCTATTCTATGCCTTTCCCTTTCTGTACTTTTTCCTACTCATTATTCAGATGGTCTTGTTCTTCTAGCTAAAGGAGAATTCAAACATTTTCCAGGTATGATTCAAGCTTCTTTTGTCCTATCATAGGGAAAGCAGAAATTACTTGATGAAGCAATATGTAGAAATGAAAGCTAGAAGTTGAGATGAATGAGCTAATTTTTCAAAGTGCCGTGGTCCTGAGTGCCAGCATCAGA